TACACCAAGATAGTGCACCACTATCTTGGTGTATTGTGTACACAAAGCTATTGTGTACAGAATAGCTTTGTGTACACAATACACCAAGATAGTGGTGCACTATCTTGGTGTGCACCAAGATAGTGCACCATGGTTATTCAACGTGTGTAAGATATCTGTGTAAGATAATTATGAACGAAATAATACCCATGATCTTCCAATAAAATTGTTTAACACCAGTGAAGAAACCTTTAATGGTATGTTATGATGTAGACCTGTCAGACCAAAAAATGTACATGAGTCAATATTAATATAACTTTAACATAAAATGAACCAAAATCTGTATGTAGCTCTACATTCAGATGATTGTTGAATCAACACTGATATAGAGTCAGTAATGGTTGAAACACTAATGTTGATTCAACCACTTTCAATTTCGTTTCAATGTCAGGCTTCTACGTGGATTAAATGTTTCTGCCTAACGTTCTTTCACTCATATTTTGCTATCTGGGGTGTCTTATATTGTAACATTAGATGCTAATATATTTTAATTCACAGAAACATGTAATTGTCAGATTCTGTAAACTGACTAAATCTTCATTCAGTTCAGTTTGTTAGAAGAGAAAAGCATTCATTTAATTTCATGTGACCAAATCAGTCCAGTTCTAACAGACAGGAAGTACCTGGTCAGCGACACTTTGAGTGTTGATCTGCTCTCGAAGCTCCTTGCTCAGCTGTCTGAAGCGCTCTGACCTTTGACCCTCCTCTCGGCTGCACATTAGGCTGTGATATGCCTGCAGTCCAGGCTGTTGCTTCTCAGGAACCAGCAGAATCTTCCTGAGCTGAATGTCGCCACGCTCCCCACAGGTCAGGAACTTCAGCATGGATCCAGTCAAGAGAACTCCCTGGAAAAACATTTGATCTGCTAGCAGGTAATGTAGAAAATAATCACACATCAGCTCTCCTGTTTCTGTGTGGATCTGCTCTGTCATGCATGCTCTGCATGAGGGATTGCTGTAAAGTCAATGACAACGCAAGTGATTGCTGCTGCTAATTTATTTAAGAAAAGGTAGAAACCATTGATTACATATTTGGAACTGACATTATAGCGTGTAAATCATTTTGTTTACCTGTCAATATCAAGACATAAGTTCTGTGAGGTATATCTTCCCTTTATCTAATTTATTATTATTATATTATTGTTGAAATATGGGAACAAAGTGACAGAGAAGCCCAGTTCTGTTACTCATCTACCCACATAATTTAATTTTTAGCAGTAAATAAATTATTTTTGGTAAAAGCTCTGCCTGAGTTAACATCAGAATGGTATGGAGAAACTGTTAGAAATACCTGGTCTCACCTCTAGGTGAATGAGGGAAATGCATGAGAAAAGATGAGCATACCTCCAGCTCCTGGATCCCCTGAAGCTGCTCGGCCCGGCTGCCAGAGGCGGCCGACAGGCCCAGCGCCCAGGATACGATCTGGACCACAGCCTTCCTGTTTGCTGCTCTGCCTGGATCTTCCCCTCCATCCATACTCTGAACACCACCCAGCAGCTTCTCCTGCAGCACCAGGTGATGGAGAGGTACTCATGAAAAGCATGCATTGTTGAGGTTTATTTCACTCTGGCATGTAATACAAAATAATTAAAAATGAAAAACTCTTCATCATGGTCAGAGGAAAAATTATTCTCAAGTCCATTCAGTGAAGCGATACGAAGCAGCTAAGACTGCTGTTCTCCCATGAGCCGGACCTTGATGATCTGATACTCACCTTAATCTGCAGAAGCTTGTCTGCAGGTTTCTTACTCAGGATTTTTGGTCCATGAATCCAGCTGGCTGGCCCTCCACTGTCTCTGAGGGAACTATCGAAGATCAGACTATAGACCTAAAGCAGCCATACAGAGAGCAAGAATGATTTGTACTGAAGATGGCAGCAACTCTTCAGTTATTCATCTTTATTATGGATGAATGGCGTAACTGCCATCAAATCAGAACAATAAAAATCACATATCAGTAATCAATAAGGATATTCCTTCACAAAATAAAACAAACATTTGATTCCCTTTATTTTTTCTGGCAGCAGCTGTCGACTGAAGATGTTCTGGTGCTTCATAGAACTTTTAACGCCATGCCCTGCAAGGTTCTCAGATGCTTTGGAAGAGAGACAAGACAACAGCATCACACATCCTCCAACAGGTGGAGGTTAATACTCCACCTGCTACATCAGTGGTGCTGAGCTGCTCTTCCACATATTCAGCTTTGTTTCACCAGTGTTTGGTCCAGCCAAGAGGCTGAGAGAAATGGCTCTCTGTGTCACTTATTTAATCCCCAAAGAAATAGAAAGTCATAGATTACCAACGAGAAGTTCCTATAAATTTTGATCAATTTAAAAAAAAGTATGATTTAAATTAGGAACACTCTTAGGTTACATTTAATTTAAAGGATACCAGAAAGCCTATCACTGACTGTTTTGTTAAAACATTTATTTCTTCATATGAATTTTTTTCCTCGCAGAATAAATATAATCAAATTAGAGTTTGAGTTTTTATTGCAGATTTTGACACTCCATTTTCAGGCTTTTTGGTTCCAATAAATGCCACATGCTATGCAGCTCTAATCATAATGCTGAACCATTTCAGCTGATTGGGATTAAAATATAGTTTTATCATCTGAAGGAGAAATCCCACAGTATTAAAATGACTAACTTGGTTTCTAAAATTTCTACTTCACACACGTTCCAGACACTGTAAATGTTCCACTCACTATTTAAAGAGTGCAACCTTTCCACAGACAGACTTTTTAAATGTAAAAGTTTAGAAAACTGCCACAGAGCAGCAGGCAGAGCCCAACAGGAAGTGAACCTGCAGCTGAAGGTTGGAAATTTGCTCTTGGGTCATTCAAGTCAAGTATTCTAAAAAGAAAATGACAGATGCTAATCTTAATTAAAATGGACAGTCCCTTTTTTTTGTAGTATCCCTCTTCAACATATATTAATAAACATGGTTCATATTTTCTATCAGTCAATCAAATATATTTGTATAGCACATTTCAGCAGCAAGGTATTTCAAAGTGCTTTACATCATAAACACAAAGTCATGCAACATAGAATCAACAATCAAAATATTACATAAGTCAAGTGCCATCATTAAATTCATAATACTGTTAACAGGAGCCACGGATGGATTGTAAAGGTGCGGGATAATGACCACTCCAGGAAGGAATAATGCTGATCTTCTTTTAATGAAGATAACCGAACCGGAGTACAACTGGATAGTTTACGTGCTCCAACGCCGATGCAGACAAACTTTACACGTCCACACCAGAGTCAGCGAGCATCCAGAACTAAAAACAAAAACATTCCCCCAGAACACACAACTGCTGCAAGCAGAATTCTATTAACGAAGTAAATTAACTGTAACGCACTTAAACTCAGATCAACCTAGTTAGTATGGGAAATAATGCAGAGATAAGCAGATGCTTACAAGTACTACAATACGTTTCAAATACAACTCCAAACAGGTGGGTTTTTAGTTGAGATGTAAAGGAACTCAGTGTTTCAGCTGTTTCACAGTTTTCTGGAAGTTTGTTCCAGATTTGAGGTGCATAGAAGCTGAATGCTGCTTCTCCATGTTTGGTTCTGGTTCTGGGGATGCAGAGCAGAACCAGAACCTGAGGGGTCTGGAAGGTTGATACAACAGCAGCAGATATTTAATGTATTGTGGTGCTACGTTGTTTAATGATTTACAAACTAACAGTATTTTAAAGTCTGTTCTCTGAGCTACAGGGTGTCAGTGTAGGGACTTTAAAATTGTGGTGATGTTTTCTATCTTCTTGGGTTTTAGTCAGAACAGCAGCAGCAGCGTTCTGGATCAGCTGCAGCTGGATGATTGATTTTTTTAGTCAGACCTGTGAAGACGCTGCTGGGGGAATCAATGTGACTGAAGATAAACATGGATGAGTTTCTCTAGATGCTGAGACATTAGTCCTCTAGTCCTGGAGATGTTCTTCAGGTGATAGAAGGCCGACTGCTTATGGTAGCTGATCTAATTTCCTGTTATAACCTGATCTAGTGGGAGCATATAAATATTGAATAAGAGGGGTCCTGTGACTGAACCATGGGGTACACCACATGTGACCTCTGACCTCTTCGACGAGAAGCTGTTTCCTATTGAAACAAAGAAATCCCTGTTGTTTATGTAACAATAGGGTTGAGTTCTGGACC